TTATGGTGTTTCCTTATAGGCTTCACCATAAGAGATTTTGTAATTTACAGGGTTCCACGGAAACCCTCTATTGCCACCTGTGAAGAAAAAATCAGAAATTTTCAGGTCTTGTTTGAAAAACCCACAAGTAAATTAATATTTAATTCTGACAAAAAAGTGGCACGGATCCAATCTCAGCCTAAATCTGCAGATCTAGGTAAAATTACTAAATGTTTGATTATCAGTTCTGATCGTGCTGTGCTTAATAACTTGACATTGTCACTTGTAGCAAATTTGAGATTGTCACTTGTATTTTCCTCAATCCTCAGGAAAGCTGTCCTGGCTGGAATTTAGCCCATTGCAAGCTCAGAGCTCAGTGACTTTGGGGCTGTCCTGGAAGTGGAGTCTGTGCTGAAGGTGGTCATGGGAACAGCAGTCCACAGAGCAGCCTTGATCTAGAAGGGTCAGGAGCTACGATCTGGCTTGTTCTAGAGGGGCTGGGAGTTACTTCCAAACTCGCCAAGTGTCAACAGTCCAGTCCTGGTGTATCCGTCCTCGGAGGTGTGACCCTGTGCACCTCAGATCAAGCATTTTTGGTTGTTATTTCACACCTTCATAGAATCACAAAATCCTCACAGTTGGAAGAGACCTTTAAGATCATCGAATCAGTGTGGCACTACCACTGTAATCTCTAAATCACCTCACCCAGCGCCAGGTCTTAAATACCTCCAGGGATGGTGACTCCACCAGGGTAAGGTGTGTGGATCCAGGGAAAGGTGTGTGGATCCTGAGGAAGGGGTGTCGGTGCAGGGAAGGTGTGTGGATCCCAGGGAAGGTGTGGATCCCGAGGAAGGTGTGTGGATCCCAGGGAAGGTGTGTGGATCCCGAGGAAGGTGTGTCGGTGCAGGGAAGGTGTGTGGATCCCAGGGAAGGTGTGTCGGTGCAGGGAAGGTGTGTGGATCCCAGGGAAGGTGTGTCGGTGCAGGGGAGGTGTGTGGGCCCTGAGGAAGGTGTGTCGGTGCAGGGGAGGTATAAGCCCCCCGAGAGAGCCGTGCCGGTGCCGGCAGTGCGGCGGGAGGAGGAGCCGGGCCCGCTGTCGGCCCGTCCCCCCTGAGGGCGGGCGCGCCCGGCGGCCAGCGCTCCGGAAGCGGCGCGGGGGACGCGGAGCGGCCTGTGGGTGAGTGGGGAGGAGCGAAGTGAGGAGTGAGTGAAGGGCCGGGTGGCCTGAGCTAGGGACGGCTCGGGCACAGCCCGGGGTCGCTTCTCGCCACACTGCCGGAGCTGAGCGGGCTCCTGCTCTGGGGGCTCCGATGCCCCTCAGCCGCCGCCCCGGCCTCCCCGCCGAGCAGAGCGCTGCTGCTGAGCGCCATTTGCTTCGGGTTTTTATCCTAAAAGCCCCCGTGTGAAGTGTGGGCTCGCCCCTGTCCCTTTGGCTGTGCTGTGGCAGCGCGTTCCTGCGCGGGTGGCGGCCGGTTGGTACCTGCGTCACGTACGACAGTAATTGTAATTGTACAAGAGTAATAAAGTAGCTTTTTAATTAATTTTTAATATGCGGTGACACTTTGAGGGCAAGAAATTGTCACGGAAAGACGCTGGAAACTACTGACGTCTTTTTTGGTGGTTCCTCACTGAAGAAAACCTAAGAATTGTGCAAGCTGAAAATACAGTTTTTGCCTAAGGAAAAAGGTCCAGCAGAAGGCTCTGGGTCTGCAGATCCGTGGCAAAGGAGAAGTTTGTACTCTTGAGAAAGTGGGGGAAAGGCTCTTCTACTCCATCCTTGCAAATGCTTCTAAAACATGCTGTGGTGAAAGGTTATATTTACTGGCCTTTGTTTCTCACTGGAGCTGTACAGTGGACCTAATCTAGTAGGAGAGAAATTATGCAGCTGAAAATAAAACGAGCTCATTAAACTTGGGAATGGCATGCACCTTATGTGTTATTTTCTGTTTTTCATAAGCGTTGTACTTTGCATTGTTGTCTCTGGCAGTGAAGACTGGCTCTTCACCTTGGTAGGGTTAGTTACAATCTGTATGGAGAGCAACCTGAAAGGCATTAAATTAGAGATCATCTATTCCAGCTGGTCTTTAACCATTAGTATTGCTACACAGGAGCATGTGCTACACAAGGGAAGTTAAAAAATAAATCAGTAAAGTGCTTTAAAAATGCAGCCATGAGACACTTTTCTCTGGAGGAAAAACATAGATTACTTTTTATAACTAATCAGTCATCTCTTTGATGGTTTTAAAGTTCCATATTAAAAAAAAAAAATCATTCCACTAGTGCAAGAAAGTGCATCCAGTTTTATGGCCCTTTAATGGGCAGTCAAGGACTGTAGTGCTCAGCTTCATTTGGACATATTCAAAAGAGACAGTAAAATAGTTTTGGACTCTGCTGACCACGAGTTATTTTTGTGGTACCTAAAACTAGCAGATTCCAGTGATAAATGATTTCTAGCTGTGTTTTAGACTGCACCTAAACAATAGTTTTGGATCAGGTGAGAAGCACTGGAGATCACTGTGGTAACTGACAGATGTTATTTATGATGCTTCATTTGCGAAAACAAAATACATAACAAATGGCTTCATTTTTCAAAGCCTGCTACTGGGAATTCTTAAGGGTAGAATAGTTTTATGCCAAATTGTGAACTGATTGCCTCTAATCAACCAAATGATGGTAGAACCCTATGAAAAGAGCATACACAATCTATCATATTTGGGTCTCTTGGTAGTTCCTCTAAACGCTACCTTATGCTGGTGTGTATCCACTCAGGCTTTTAACAGCTCCTTCAAATGAGCCAAACACACTGTACTGTGTCACAGAGCCCAGCAGCACAGAACAAGAACGTTAGTTACTGGAATGCTGTTTCCAAATTAGCGGTGCCATTTGGAGCAGAACCCTTAATTACAGGATGTTTGTGATTCTTGTCAAGCTGGTTTGTGTGTATTAGGCATAAGTTGGACAGCAAACTAGAAACATTACACAAATAGGAGATTGTTGCTGATCGTGACATCCTTGGTAACTGTTGTCTTATTGACTAGGAATAATCAAACCAGAATTCATAAAAGCTCATTATCCAGAAGGCAGTAAGTCTTCACTGTCTCCACCTTAGAGTGGAGGGTTTTTTCTCCCTTTCTGCAGATTTTGCCATGTTTCACAGTGTGTATGTTCTGGCTTGTCTTCAGAAAGAAAACCAGAAGGCAGGTGTTGTGCCACAATTTAGCCTTTTCTGCTTGAACTAAGCCACCTCCTGCATCTCTAAGGATGGTTCTGAAGACACATTTTCTGCTCAACAAGTCAGCTTTTGCTCAAGCTTTGGACTTGCTGTAGCATCCAGTTGCAAGTGGAAGGCAGTGCTGGCCTAATCTTTGTCGTCTTCTCGCCCCCTCCATCTGTGGGGACTGAGCTGTGTGGGGAGGAGGCTGCTGAGCACATCTGCTCTGCTGGGTGGGGAGGAGGCTGCTGAGCACATCTGTGGGGAGGAGGCTGCTGAACACATCTGCTCTGCAATGCCAGCTCTGTGCAAAGTGCTCGTCCCACCCCATAGCTGGCAGACCCACTTTCATGTGAACATGAGCCCAAAAGGATGACACCTGTATAAAGATTTTTTCATTGAATATTTAGGTACTTATGGTATCTATGACTGCTTCTCTTCAGGGTTTTTTTTCCTCTTAGTATTTGTTAATTGTCGTGAATTTTAGAATATCCCAATTTGAGTCTGACTTACAGTGTGCTTCTGTTTAAGAATTATAAGGCTAACATCCAGCCCTGGGTATAAAACCTCAACAGGTGTTGCAAGTGCAGTGTCAGACTTGATCAAAGAAGGTACCAAAATATATTGCTTGCCTCCCTTGCCAGTTAAGTGTTGCTGCTATTTTAGGGGGTAGCTCTGTTTTATCTGGCTTAACACTTCTGTCTGAATTTAAAAAAAAAAAGGTTAGGCTGTTTATGTAGGACCTATAAACACTTATGCTTGTTTCAAGGCCGGCAGGTGGAGCCCAAGATAAGTAATACTGGTTTGATATTTGGAGTTAATAAAACCACAAATGTAACTTAAAGTACTGTAATAACATCAAGCAAGGTTGATGGGGTGACACAAAGATGGTTCTGTCAAAGCAGTAGTAGAAAGGTATTGAGGTGTTGAAAATACTTGTCCTTCTAGATAATTGTGCTGAGTGTTACAAACTTACTCTACTGCTGTTTTCTGACTGGCAGTTTTTGTGTAAGTTTTATGTGGCCAGTAATTTTGCACAAACAGCTGGACTGAATTGATTATTTGGAGGGAACTCAATACATCAGCTAATGGAGCCTGAAACATGTTTATTAAAATAGTGGTCTTATGAGTGATTAATTGCCGATGGTTTTTTATTGAGTAATCCATTTAATTGTCTGGCAGGACACTTAATGGATGCCAGAAGCCATATCTCCTTAGTCAGCAAAAGTAGTCAGCAACAGTTGTCCATTAAAACTATTTTATATCCCTGCTTTCACCAAGTGGCCTTCTTTGCCAGTAAAAAGTTTCACAGATTACCCACCATATTGCTGGTGGTGTTTTAAATGGAAACTGCTCCACTGTGGATTTGAGGGGATCTCTTCTGAGCTATGAGTGTTGTTTGGGAAATAGGCTTGGTGACATAGAGCAGCTGGAGTACACGACCCTGAGTTTTGGGAAAAGCTGGCAAGGTCTGGATGCAGAAGGTCCGAGTAGTTCAGTTGTCCAAGTCCAGTATGGTTGCAGTCTACTGAGAATGCAGCAGTAGGAGTCTGAGAAGGGGGATAACACCCTGAAACTGAGTAGATTTTCTATGTAAAGCTGGCTATGGATCTTTCTAAACACTGGGCTAGTAAATCAATTATCCAGAATTCAAGACTGCATCTTTAATTTATTATTAATTTCCAAACCAGTTGTTTAGGGATTGACTTGATAGAGACAGAGAAAGTCAGTACATTGCAATCCTTAAACTTCAGCATAGAAGCAAGTTTATAATTTGCAGTGTAATAGATAATCTTAATTTACATTTCAGGCTATTACAGAATGACCTTACATTGAGCCTTTGTGGAAGAACCAAGATTTAAACATCAGTTCTTCAATGTGCATCCTTCTATTCAAGTTTGACCCCCGCCCAGTTTCAAAAAATGCGTACAGGTAAGATTGTTCTAGTTAAAACAGACTTGTTTCCGTGTTTTTACACCATTTCTTTCTGTATCCAGTGCGTGAAGTACAAACTCAAGTCAGAATTATGTGTTCTGTTGTGCCTTTGAGGTGTTTAACTCCCTGACTTTCCCCACTGGAGGATTTACTGTAACCTTTTCAGAACCCTTTGTTTTTAGACTGTCAGAAGACTCGGGCTTTGTAACCACAGACCTTTAGCTGGGCATCTATCATGTGCTCTATAAGTCCTTTAAATATTGTACTCCAGAGTTTGAAAGCCCTGTGTTCTACTTCAGCATTTGAACTAAGGTGAGTCCTGTGTGTTGGGCATTGCAGATGCAGCTGTCCCCTCCTTTCAGTGTGGTAGATAAGCTTAGGGTTTCCAGTTTAAAACCAGTTTTAAAGGAACTTCTTGGAAGTGTCCTAGCCTTCCCCCACCCTAAAATCTGCTTGCAATTAAAATTGTAGATAAAAAACTAAGTCTTGTGTAGGAAATGTTTGGCCAAAACCCAAAGACTAAGCAAGCATCCAGGCTTCTAGGTAAGTTTGTCAGGATGTGTGTCAGGATGGCATACAGTGAGTTTCCAAAACATTAAACTTCCTGTAATCATTTTCTCTCTCATTATAGCCCTCAATTGTTAAACTTCATATCCAACAGCAGCATCTTTGAGTACATTGAGTATACAATAGAAAAACAGCACTTCAGGCCAGTGAACAGATTGTAAAGTTTTATTGCTTTCTGTATTTCTAAACAGTGCATAGGTTCCATTTTATTTTGTGGGGTACCAGTATTGGTATTCATCCAGAGACCATCAGAGTCAGGATGCTCAGGAAATCATCGTGCCTTTCACTGACTTTTCTGCCTTGTTGTATTGAGAAGCAGATGCCATTCCACAGAAAGAAAGGAAATGAGAACCCAAACCTCAGTTGTCCGTGGAGTGCATTCCTTTCTGCATCTGGAATCTGCCTAAAAGGAGGTTTTGTTTATGATGTGACTGGTGCTGAATTAATATATCCATTTATTTGGTCTGACTTTCTTTGTGTTACAAGTTAGTGAAAGACAGATTCAGCAATTTGATGCCTCTTGGGAAAATCCTCTGGATGTCAGCTGTAGTTGCTTGCCAAGTGAACTTTCTGCCACGATCAATATTGAAAAGTAAAACTTACAGTAGTTTGCTTGCTATAAAAAATTGCATCAAGATTGAAATTAATAATTTATGTCAGAAAACAACTTGCTGTCAGTGTCAAAATAGGACAACACTTTTGAGATGTTTGGCCCAAGTTCAGGAGTGTCTAATTGTATTTAACTTTCTCAGTGTTTCTTTGCACTAACACATCTGTGTGCTGCCTTTGCACTTACACATCTGTGTGCTGCCTTTGCACTTACACATCTGTGTGCTGCCTTTGCACTAACACATCTGTGTGCTGCCTTTGCACTAACACATCTGTGTGCTGCCTTTGCACTAACACATCTGTGTGCCTGCACTTTGCACTAACACATCTGTGTGCCTGCCTTTGAACTAACACATCTGTGTGCCTGCCTTTGCACTAACACATCTGTGTGCCTGCACTTTGCACTAACACATCTGTGTGCCTGCCTTTGCACTAACAGCTCTGTGTGCCTGCCTTTGCACTAACACATCTGTGTACTGCCTTTGCACTTACACATCTGTGTGCTGCCTTTGCACTAACACATCTGTGTACTGCCTTTGCACTAACACATGTGTGTGCCTGCCTTTGCACTAACATCTGTGTGCTGCCTTTGCACTAACACATCTGTGTGCTGCCTTTGCACTAACACATCTGTGTGCCTGCACTTTGCACTAACACATCTGTGTGCCTGCCTTTGAACTAACACATCTGTGTGCCTGCCTTTGCACTAACACATCTGTGTGCCTGCACTTTGCACTAACACATCTGTGTGCCTGCCTTTGCACTAACAGCTCTGTGTGCCTGCCTTTGCACTAACACATCTGTGTACTGCCTTTGCACTTACACATCTGTGTGCTGCCTTTGCACTAACACATCTGTGTACTGCCTTTGCACTAACACATCTGTGTGCTGCCTTTGCACTAACACATCTGTGTGCTGCCTTTGCACTAACACATCTGTGTGCTGCCTTTGCACTAACAGCTGTGTGCTGCCTTTGCACTAACACATCTGTGTGCTGCCTTTGCACTAACACATCTGTGTGCCTGCACTTTGCACTAACACATCTGTGTGCTGCCTTTGCACTAACACATCTGTGTGCTGCCTTTGCACTAACACATCTGTGTGCTGCCTTTGCAGCTGCTCTGGCTGCTCTCTGGGGCCTGTTTGCACTGTAGTTTAGTGCAGTGTAACGAGCCCTTTACTGCAGACCATTATTATTGTCAGAGGGAACACGCTGCCTTTACATCTTCCTGAACTGTGCTGTGTGCATCTTACAAATAAATACATGTTTCAAGCTTCAGAGCTGTAATCACAGAGTCTTTTTTAAGGAGCTGAATTGCATTGTAGGAAATTGCTTTAATGGAATGATTTCTCGTGTTTTCATCTCTCTCAATATTAAAATAAATCTTAATACATAAATCCTAATACAGTTGAGTTATTTCAGCTATAACATGGCTGAATAGGCTTTTTGCAGTTTATTAGAAGATGAGGGTCACTTAATATTGTTCCTTTTCAGTATGATTATGTTTCATAAAAGACAAAATAAGGATGGTTTTATTATTATGATCTTGTACACTAGCCTTGTGATAAATTTAGGAGTCTGCATTAAACTTGAAATAGGGAATATTCAATCACACCAGAAAGACTTCACTTATTTTTAGTATTTAGATACTATAAACAAACCGTGGTTTCATGTCAAGAATTATTGAAAGCAAAGTATAATTGGAGCTTCAGGAGATGAGAAATGCACTTCAGCCAAACTGTTTTTTAACAGTGGTGATGTTAATTTAAATAAAAATCTTCAAAAGGAGGCTGCACAATACAAATGAAGCATATTCAAGATGACAGAAATTTGGAAAACTAGCTGAAAGCCTACAGGTCAAAGACTAGAATCAGCTAGAAGAAGAAAAATTATATAAGTTTGAAAGGAACATTATTATATTTGTGTTGGAAAGAAAAAAAATGTACATACAGTTTGGCTTCCAACAGGTGCTTCTTTGTTGGGCAAAATACGAAGCACCTGCCTTCCAGAAAGGGTGCCATTGAACTTGAGGGTTGTTTAGTTTCTCTGTAGCTGATTGATTACAGTTCTTTTTCCAGAGTATTTCTAATGTAACACTTCTAACTCAAGCTCTTATTTATAGGTACCCTGCGTCTGTCTGATGTTGCAATAAGTAATTCAATTTAGTTTCTGATGCTGTCTTCCCTTGCTTTTGAATAACAGAAAGTGTTCACTTTCTCAGTTTCAAAAGATGGATGTGCAGTCAGATTAGCCCAGACTTCTCTTTCTAGTGTTCCACTGCTGCTGAAGTGAGTGTGGCACACGTTCAGTGAGGGATCTGTGTGATCTGTGAGGAGGACACCAAAAAAGTTGCTTTGTTTTAATAACTTCTGCTGGATGAAATGGACAGAGAAACAGATTTTTCTTTCAAAGGCCAAGAATGGAGAGTGTTCTAAATTCCTGTGGAGCTGCCTGGCTGTACTGACTCGTTAAAACTTACCTGCTTTACATTCATAGCCTGACTGACTGGAACTGGGGTTAATATTGAATTTGAGTGATCTGCAGTGCTGCAAAGACTGGAACTTTTGAGCAAGACCTGTCTTATCTTGCCTGCCTGCTGCTTCTTAAATATCATGTTGAACTTGAGTCTTTCAAGTGTGAAAGTGCCATTTATGATAATTATCAAAGTTCAGAGATAATCGTCAAAGTACAAAGTACAGGTTTTCTAAAACTATCAAATTTTAGATGGCACGTGAAGAGCTGCAGCATGCTTTTTGTCAGGACAGCACTTGCTCTTGTGGAGTGATGTGTTTATTTCTAAATATAAATAATGGATTTCATCCAACAACATTTTTCAATTGCATATTATTTTTCGTAGCTTCTTCCTACCTCCTGATGGTGCCACCTCCTCCTGTTCTGGCAGAACCCAAATTATGCAAGCAACTATGGATGCAAAAAAACCCCAACCCACAAAACAACAAAAATCAGGGGGAAAGTGCCCACCAAAGTATCTCTTGATTGTTACAAAACCCCACAGCTTTTCCCTTTATTTCTTTTCCTCCCTGACCATACTGTCATTTCATCCAAGAATTTCGGTGGGGCTGGACCTCTGACACTGTCACAAATTTATCTCTGCTCTGAGTACCTACAGACAAAACCATCTGACTTGTGTCTTTGAACCCCATAATTAGAGCTTTAGGTGTCAAAGACAGATTAAGAAATATTGTGACTGCATGATCCTAAGCAATGATCTGGTAAAAACATTCTCTCATGCTTCACAGTTTTGGTAAGTTACCTATGAATCTGTGGGTTATCTTCACATTTTCTTTAATGAAGCTGTAACTTCATGCTGAGGAATTTTAAGGTTGTTTATGTGATCTTAATTCAATCTCTTCCACTGGAAGTATTGTTCTTTGAAAATAACATCTGCCTCATTCACTCAACAAGATGGACTTGCTGTCTCGAGACAGTGAGAGACAAGGCTGCTGTCAGATGTCATTTGGCCTTTCCACTGAGTGATAGAGGTGAGATGGGAGGATAAAGGATGGTTTCATGCTTAAAATGAGCTAATGCTGTGGCAAAAATTGGATTCTGTTCCTGCCTGCACTGTGAAGTTCCAATTTGTAAGTAATAGTGTGTTTTTCCTCCTGTGTTCTCCAGGCTCATTCTAGCAGCTAACAGAGATGAATTTTACCACAGACCATCCAAATCGGCCGAGTTTTGGGACAGTAGCAATGAGATCCTCAGTGGTATGTCTGTCTTGCTGTTTTGACAGGTTTTCATGTAATTTATAAGGGAATTGTGGCCTGGATTTTTTTGTTATTAGGGTGGTGGTGTTGCCTTTCTAATACGAAATTTGCTTCTTCCTTATACTTCTGAGGAAAATATATAAGTTTGAAAGATGAGTTGTGCTATTACTATCTTATTTGTGTTTTAATATCTTGTGGGGTTTTTTTACCAGTTTTACATTTTTTTAACTGATTTCAGTCCTAGTGGTGCAGTGGAAATAATGCAGAATTAGAGGGCAGATAACTTAAGTGGGCTTATGTCACTTATGCAGAAGGACAGTCTTGCACCTACTGCATTTTATCCAGCCTGATGAAAACTCAGCATTTGCATTAAGAAATTCTGGTCGAAGCTTGAGATTTTTTTAAACAAATGTAATAACCTAACTCTTACTTATTCCATTAGGTCTGGATATGGAGGAAGGAAAAGAAGGTGGGACATGGCTGGGAATCAGTAAGAAAGGCAAGATGGCAGCCCTGACAAACTATATGCAGCCAAAGGTTGATAAAAATGCCAAAGGAAGAGGTATGAAAGAGTTGAAATAGAAGAAAAAGAAGAAAGTGAACCAACAAGCCCTAGTGTTCCAGTAAAACAGTGATGATTACAGTATTAATTTTCTTAACACAGCTTTATGGGCAAATAGAATGTTTATGTGCTGTAAACAGAATTTGTGAACTGATGAGTTTGAGTACCTGTGTGAGAAACTTGACTCAGATAATGATTTTCTGATCAAACAGGCAAAAGTAAAACAAGATGTAGTGCCTCGAGCCTGAAGTTACATTCAGACAAGAAATGCAGCACCAACTGTCTCCTCTTGAAAATAATTCTAATTAACAGGCAGAACAACCAGCCAAGCACTGAACTAGATTTAGATTACAATAGACTTTTTTAAATGTATATATTCATGTTCAAACACCTGTGTCAGGGAATCAATACAACTTGAGTTATGCTGGAGGTAGCCTAAAAGATTATTATAGTCTCTCCTTCCCCCAGATCAGAGAAGCAGAAATATAGGAAAAAATCTCTTTTGAAGAGGATTCTCAACAGAGCACATCTGTAGAGTTTTTCAGAGTAACAATAGGTCTGTTTGTAACTGTCATAAGCTGCTTCACTGGGAATATATTGGAACGACAAAAGATGTTAGACAAAGAAAACAAATGAACCATGTCATTTGTATTTCATTTTAGGGTCATATATCAGGGAAATGAAGCAAGACAAGAAAGAATTTGTAAGGTGGGAGGAGAGGAAAGGCACATCCAGTTTAGAGTAGTTAGTAATATGAATTCTGTAGAATTTTTGACCAAGAGCTTTTGACTGAGTTCTTTGGAGTAAAAGTCAAGCTCTTAATAGGAACATGGTACAATGATGTAAGACTTTTAAAGGCTGGTTTGTTACTTGGTTTGATTTTGGGGTTTGGGGTTTTTTTCCCCACTGTTACAGCCTCTTGGCAACAGGAATCTTTATCTTGCTGTTTGTTTTACCAGGCCTGTCAGAACAGTGAGCTCACCCACATTTGTTCCATGTCCTTCTCTTTCTTAGGTGCTCTTGTAACAAACTTCCTGACTGCAGATCTGGACAGCTACTCTTACTTGAAGAAAGTTTCAGCAGAGGGACATCTTTACAATGGATTCAATTTGTTAGCAGCTGACTTGAAGTAAGTCTATAAAACACCACAGTTCAGGTGTCAAAGGGAGCAGTTTTGCACATGTACATCACAGCCCAGATGTGTGACAATGCCTGTCACAAACTGAAGCCAGAGCTCATGGTTTTTGCTGATTGGCATGTAAGGTCCTAACGTTACTGCAGTCATCATTTCCTGGGGTACCTTCTGATCTGTCCAACCCTGGAGCACTGTCTTGTGTTCTAATCACTGCTTCCCACAGAACTCTTTGGGACTCCCTGACAGGCCATGGCCAGTCTTTACCCTGAGGGCTCTCTGCCTTGTGTTTTGAGAAAACAAAACTGTGGCTCCATCATTTCTCAGATACCTTTTTTCTCTGAGAGGTGACATGTTGTGGTGGGATTAAAGCACCTGAGAGCTTTCAAGATACCTTCCCTGTCAGAGTAGCTGTGTCATTAATCTTTCCTGAAACATTAAAAATCAGCACAAGGCAGTGCTGGTTTACGTTAACTCAGAGTTTCTGTAGCTGAAGGAAGGATCTTGGATACTTGACTATAATCAGTGTGGTTGGGCCAACCCTTTGCACTGCACATGCCTGTGTCAGTTCAGCAGTCCATGTGCTGAGTGTTTCTGCACATTGTGCCTGAGGGAGAAGAAGGGAAATCCAGTGCTGGGCTGTGTCCTGTGTCAGCTCCCAGGTGGATCCTTTCTGCATGACCACGAGCACATACAAACTGCCCAGAGCACACCCCTGCTTTGGCACCCTTTCTGCAGCACCATTAATCTTATTAGACAACCTCATGGTGCAGCTTTTCTGCCTGCTTCTGGGAAGCCACACACACTTAAGGCAGCAGGTCCCAGTGTTTGCTGTTCTGAGTGGAAATGATTTCCAGCACCCTCTCACTAACCAGCCTTGTGTTTGCATTTTTCACTTCCCTACTCTCCCACTTTCCTGCAAGTAGATATTACAGTAGATCTGACTGATGTTATTTAAGGCAGTCATTCCTGTGTTGGTTTTGTTTGGTTATTCCTCCATGCTGGGCTGATAGGGAATTGTGTGTTCAACTGAATAGTCTTTCCATGGTGATACAGCTCGTAATTCCTCCCTGAGTATCACTCTGAAAGCTGTGTGTGTTGATTAATTTCTCAGTTTTGACGTGTCCTTAGCCTTGGATACTCTGATGAAATGAAATTCTTGCCAAGCTAATGATGCAGAGCAATTTTGATAAGATTTGTAAACTTGTCATTTTAGGAAATGAGAATTACTCCTGAGAGAAATATAGTATATGAATGGAAGCTACTTCTCTATGTAAATAGAAAATGTTATTGTAGTTGATGCTAATTTTTTGGGCCATGTTGCTGTTTCAAAATAAGGACTGAAGACTATTCTTAAGATGTTCTTCCATTGTGTAACAAATAGTGACTGGCTCCATTAAAGTGTGTGAAATGGAGAGGAAACTCAAATGGGAAGTTTAAATGAAGCACTGGTGAGGAGGGGTGTGTCTGAGCTCACAATATTGCTGACTGTGAGCAGCATATTTAGAGAGACTTACAGTGTTTGAGTTTTCAGGATCACATTTCAGAAAAAGAAATTTTAATCTTCTGTCTGTATTCTTATGCTGATAGTTGGTTAGATAGCTGTGCAGTGATGTGAGAAGGAGAGCTGGAAACAAGTATACAAGTTGTAAAATCTTGTTTATTTCCACAGCTTGGTGTGACTCTTATTTTCAACGTGCACGGGTTCTGACACTTAGTGTAATAATCTATTTGCTCTGTGACATCTCTTGATGTCAATTTAAAGACAATTGATTCCTTTTTTTTCCAAGAATACTATTTAGTATTTTTATTTTTCTAATTTTTTCAGTTTAACATCTTGGTTGTGAATATTTATCCAATTACGTTTAACATACTTTTATGTTCAATATATAGCATATGACAAACAGTGTCTATTTGGAATCTTGTGCATCTGCAAAATTAGCTTCCTGGAAGGCAGTGCTGCCATCCTCCAGTTCTGAGTGTCAGTGGGGCTGACTGGAGAGGAACGAGGTTTCAGAGACTGGACTGGTCTCTAAGTAAATGTCTGCTTAAGATTCAGAGCAGTTTCCCTCCTTTCTCCATCTGTGACAGCATCTGAAGTCAGTGAGCTGCTCTTGGTGATGCTTGGGGCATCATTGCTGTCCTCAGGAAACCTGTGTTTATGTCCAACAAATCCAGTTGCTACAGGTACTTAGACTTTCACGGGTATCTCAAACTTCTGTCAGGGCCGTTGTGGCAGCAGCTCCCTTGTGTTCTTACTGCCAAGTGTGTAATACAGGCAGCCCTGAAGGACAAATGGAATTGGCAGCTTCTTGTCGCTCTCCCAGCAAGTTTGAGTCTCTGACAGGTTGTCACTCAGAGCCCATACAGTTTAAGTGCAGTCAGATCCCTGTGAACAGGAGTGAATCACTTCCTCCAGGAGGAACAGACAAATTGTCCCTTCCAAAACAAGTCAGCTGGAGGGAACTGCAGAGAGATGCCTTCGGGGTGAGCTTTTCTGCTCTCCCTGTCACAGCCAGTTTCCAGTCCCTCCAGGGGAAATGTAGTGAGCTGCCCCATCACCCGAGGGCTGTGCACTCAGGGTGGGGATCAGGGCTTGGCTGTGTGGGAGGGATTTGATTGCTCTCCAGGGGTTAGATTGGGGAGCCTTTCCAGTGAAAAGTGAGACAGGGTCAGAGTGCTGCTCTGGAAGGAACGGGGATGGTCAAGTTGTCATGAATGCTCTGTGAGCTCACTGGCATTTCTTCTCTTGCACTGTCAGTCCTAATACAATACCACCTTTTGCAGAGTACACCTGTCTTGCTTCTTGTGGCTCCCTCATGAAAATGAGTTGTCCAGGTACTTCTCTGTGTTCTGAAATATTTCTGCATAGATCTTCAGTCATTTCCAGTGGATGGATGGACAGGCCAATGTCAAAAGAAGGAAAAAAGCTTCTGAACAACTTTTTTATCTCTTTCCTCTGGTGTCAGCTTCTGCCTGGACCAAAATATAAGGACAACACCAAAGAAATGTTTAGACACTGGCAACAAAATCAGAGTAGTGCTTTAAAGCAGACTTTGTGTGCTGTGAATATCTGGCAGAATTCTTTTCACCATTTTATTGGATGGTAGGTGCTATATGTTTGGGCTTTATAGTTGGTGGTTTGGTGCTTGCTTGCGTGTTTTTAGTTTCAGAACAGAAAAAGTTTTCTGATTAGCCCATGAACATTGAAGAAAAGAAAATTAATCTGTGGACTGTATTACTTAGTTGAAGCTCCTGTTCAGCATTTCAAGCTGCCAACTTCATCTTTTGTCCTTGCACAAAAAATACACACACACATTATTCATCAAACAATCCAATGTCCTTGTGTAAGATATTCCCCCTGTGAGCAGAGTGGAGCTCAGTGCCCAGGGGAGTGATCACTTGGTGATAACCACACGCTGTGCAGCTTTACTGCCTCACTTCTTCCTTTTCCTCTCGGTCTGTTTTTGGCCAACACGACCTGAAGCCACCTTGAAGTTGAAGCAGGGCAGGGGAGCAGAAGGACATTGCTTATGTTTCATCAGCATGAAGGAGTGATTGTGGCAAACTCTGCATGGCTTTCATGTTGCTGGGGAGCTTCTATTTCTACTGAGATTTATGCTGCCTAGAATATTTCCCGGAACATTTATTATTGCTTACATTTTTTGACAGAATGATGTATCTAAGAGCATAATTTTTATGCAGTTTTAGTTTCTTTCTGCTGTCAGCTATGGCTGGGATTTAAAAATAAGCCTACTGGGCCCTATTGTCATCACTTTAATTATGCCTTTATTACTTCTCCAGTGAAATTGGTATCTATACTTGTAAAGCTGGAAGGGAAGAGAATCTGAGTACAGGCCAGGGGTTTGAGGCTATTGCTGTGATCAAGTTTATAGTGATTTTTTTTCATCTTGGCTTCTGCCTTTCCCTTCAGTACTGAGTATCTGTAAACAGTAGGAAGGGAATAGGCAGAGCCAAATGACAAAAAGAAGAGTAGCTGACTGGCACAGAGAACTACAGTTTGAAAGTGTGCCCATTTCAGAAGCCTCTTGGGAGGCTTCAGTCTTCCTTTGACAGAAGGCAGCAGCAGTGTTGCAGTGGAGGTAAGTGGAAACACGTCTGGGGGAATGTGGAATGTGGAAACAATAAGATACAGATGTCCCGAGTCAGTGACCCTGCAGTTTGTGTGTATTCCCCATCTTTTTGTTAAACTCCAGGGGATCCTGTTACTGAGCTTGTCAGTCACGAAAAGCTCGGCACAGATGCTGGAGGATAATATTCTTTCCCATAAAAAGCCATTGCTAAGGGAAGGCAGCAGTGCCTGTTTACACAGCATGCAGTCCCATCTGTGGCAGGACACGGACAGCTGTGGTCAAGGCCTGTGTGGAAAGGCCATTTGTCTGCCTTTCCATCTAACACTGGGTTTTGAGACCTCAGGTGATAACAATTGCTCTGAACTTTTCTCTTCATAGACCTTTTACACCAGGTACAGGTTCAAGAATTTGAAAAGAGAGTAGTTATTGCACCAATATAATAGTTTCAGGTTGCTGCTAATAGAATTTTTTTTTCTTCTACTTTTCAGCAGCACTTTCTCATATTCATTGAAAGGCTCTGTTTCACTGCTTTATTTCTTTTTTGTATTCTTGACTCTTCCGAGTTGTATAATTAATAAGTTAATACTTCCTTCTTCATTTGGCTGTCTTGCAAAGGATGCTGTAGAATGTCTTTCAGAATGGCTTTTCAAGAAGAATATAAACAGCTAAATCAGGACTGTTTTGCTTGTTATTAAGGTTTGAGTAGCAGATGTTAAGTTATGCAGAGCAATTTAAGTTCCAGAACATCATTAATGAGATTGCCCTGATGCAGATCAGAGTATACAGAATGCAGAGATACTTCTTTTTATCTTAGGAAAAAATGAGGAGCTGGTAATGGTTTCTCTACTGTATTATGTTTTATGCTGCTTAATCCAAATTCAGTTTTAACTGCAAGTTTTGCTTGTTTGGGCTTTTTTCCAATTCAAAAAGCCTATATGCTGTCTGAGGAGCTGGAGCTTGGGAGACAAATGAAAAGCTGAACAATGGTCAGAATGTGTTTGTTGGTAACTGGAATAATACTCTCTTCCATTGTGACCAAGTAAATCACAAGGGGGGAAGAGAGAATTAGAGGATCTCGTTGCTGTATTCTGGCAAACTAAAAAAAAAAAAGCCCAAACCCACCAACTGGTAGCAAAGGAATCACTGAGGAATTCCATGTCAGCTGATGGGACTGAGGGATGTTGGCAGTCAGCCATCTGATGGCAGTCCATTTCCAGAGGACACACAAGGCTTATTGATGACTTCATTTTTTTGTCTTTATCAGTTGGTTTGCTGTTTGTGTTGTCAGTATAAATATGACTACTCAAGTCCCTGCTGTTTGGACATGCTGATCCCATCTCTGTCAAATGAGAGTTATCTGCAGTGTTGGAGCCTGCCTTTGAACACTGTGCACAAGAGAGAGCAGCAGCCAGTGCCTCCAGTTAAGGGGAGGAAGCTCACAAACAGTAACTGCAGTAGCTGAACACAACCTGGCCATGCCCATGTGTCCCTTGAAGGACCCAGCTGTCCCTACAGCCTGGCCATGCCCATGTGTCCCTTGAAGGACCCAGCTGTCCCTACAGCCTGGCCATGCCCATGTGTCCCTTGAAGGACCCAGCTGTGCCTCAGCATTGCTCTGAGTGGGCCACAATGTACTCCTGCCAGCTGCAATGGCCTGCAGGAGCCAGGGCCTCAGGATGCAGGAGGGCTTCAAAAGAGGGCATGGGGAAAGGTGACTTGCTGTGATGGACAGTTCTGTTGTTTTAATGTGCCCCCTTCTCCCAAGTAACTAAATCTCCAGTTATCCAAAACCCTACAGATTTTTGTCATTAAGCCTGGCTACTTTCCATGCAGTGGTTCTGGGGTTTTACTGAATTCTACTGCAGTTATGTTTAAAAATGATAATGGTACTTTGTGATAGTGGTGCTGCTAATCCAGTGTTTTGAGAGGAAGAGAGTACTAAAACTCCTCAAATAATGCCTGGAACCATAGGAGTAACAGTGGGAGAAACATCTTACTGTGTTCAAAGATTGCACGAAATTGGAGCATAATCAAACACAGAAGCTGATGGCTTTTCAAGGAGAAATTCTTATTTATATTTTTCAGTACCACCAAAGGAGACGTAATTTGCTACTATGGAAACAAAGGAGAACCAGAACCTGTTTTCCTAAATGCTGGTAGGTTTTCTTCAGAAAGGTCTGAATATTACCTTTTCTTATGTAGCTCTGTATTGTTCTAGTAGTTTAGCTATCTAAGCATTGTCCTCACTGACTTTTCCTTCACATTCTTTAAAAAAAATATTATTAAATGTCTTTGAATTCCTTTAAGCATTTACTAATAAATTACTGTATAGAATCAATAGTTCATTAAAAGTTCTGTCCGTGTCAGTGTACCCACCTGTACTGCAATTAGTGGGATGCTCCTTTGGTGACTGTGCCTGAAGGACAGAAGCCTGTTTTGAGGAATGGGATTTTCAAAGGATTTGACCCTAAATCCCTTACCCAGAGTGTGTGTTTATGGCACACCTGCAGGTAAAGGTTAGGGGGAGCACTTATATTTTATTAACGTTTTTGAAATCTGTAATGACAACTGAAATACACCAGAATACACTTTCCATTAAATTGTTTTTTTTGTGTGTGTAGGAATATATGGATTGAGTAATTCTTTGTTGGATACACCATGGAAGAAGCTTCAGTATGGGAAGCAGCTTTTCACAGAAGTGGTGAAGAGAAGTCAAGACCTTACCAAAGAAGACCTGGTGAAGGAGCTTCTTACAGTGATGAATAATCAAGAGCCGTAAGAACACGATGGCTGGAGTTCACTGAAAATACAACATGACCCCTTTAAAAATTGCATATAGAAACTGTTTTGGCAGGGAAGAAGCTTTAGCCATATATTAATTGACTAAAGCTGGGTAATGAAGGGCAAAAGTAGTGTTCTGTCTCTCCACAGAGACTGACTTTCAACAGTATTGATTTTTAAGCAGGAGACACAGTAAATGTTACTACTGCAGCCTTAGTACTCCTCAACTGTACACTGCTTTTTCTGTGCCCTTCTCTTTTAAAGATTGCATTTCCCTTAGTAAGGGCAGTGAGTGCAGGACTGTAAGTTGCTTGCTGTAAGCTTTTTGGAGGCTCAGGTAAGGTTCAGTTTGTTCCTGCACACGGAGAAAGCCCTTATTTACATAGAATCATAGAACAGGTTGGGTTGGAAGGGACCTTCAAGATCATCTCATTCCAACCCCCTGCCATGGGCAGGGACACCTTCCACTAGACCAGGTTGCTCCAAGCCCTGTCCAGCCTGGCCTTGGACACTTCCAGGGATGGGGCAGCCACAGCTGGTTTTGTCCTTTGCCCCCTCTCTTCTGCTTCAGCCCTGCCTTTGACTGTCATATCAGGGATGTCCTGCAACTCCTTCCAGTGTGAGAGGGATGAGTGTGTTAATATGGGAGAAATTTTAAATCTCTTTAACTCCTTTACTCCTTTTTCCAGTCAGTTGCCAGACCCTGCAATTGAGGACCAGGGGAAGGATTATATCCGTCCTATCCTGAACCAGTATGCAGCTGTGTGTGTTCGCTGCCCAGGCTATGGAACAAGGTAAAACAATTCCCAGTGCAGCAGCAGATCTGAGCACTTTGATCTTATCAAAGATGCTGCAGAACATTTCTGCTCCACGAGCAGGAATTGTGTCATCTGCAGAGCTAAATCAGAGTTCTTCAGGCATGGCATTGTCAAATGGATCTGCCACTTTGGTGCATTAAAAACCTTTGCTCTTGTTCAAAAGAACATGTATTTCCACTTCTCCCCTAACTAATGCTGCTGCTTTTACTGAGATATTCTCACTTTCTGCTCAGACTGTTCTACCAAGAACAACAGAATAATGCAGTGCACCTTGCATTTAATTTGTGTGAGACAAAATTACAGGTGAACCCTGTTGCTGGGAATTCCTACTCTAAAAGTGTGCCAATGATTTTGCCAGATTGGTCTCTGGCATAGTCAGGCATAGTATTTCCACTACAGAGATGTGAGTTGATAAGATGACAGTGCTCACTGCTGGAAGCATTTTAAGTTGGGATTCTGAGAAACAGATACTCAGTTTTTGCAGTGGTTTCTATAAAATGTATTAAAAGAACATTTTAAATATAGGATAATGAAGACTTAATCTGATAAAGAAGCATCTTCCTCCTCTTGCTTCAGAGATTGGAGCCCAGCTATTTCCAAAGAAACAGGGATAACTTGGCAGAAGTACTGACCTTTCACTGGTGAATTAGCACTATATGTCAAGTCTTCTCTACTGCTATAATTGTGTGCTCACACTTATCTTTCCCTTAGCAACGGGGTTTAGTGGATACAGATTGTTAACTGGGCCTCACGAGATTCTTCTGAGGAAATTAAGCACTTTTTATGTGAGTGAACAACTGTGAAGTGACTTGGGGAAGGCCACCACATCAGGATGGTGGAAAATTCCAGCTGTCAGTGATCCCTCTGTGGCACAGTGTCCATGGAGCAATGACAGCTTCCACAAGGCAGAGTGGCACCGATGCATGACCCAAATCTGCTTCTCATGAAAACAGATTTCCCCTTTGGAAGGTTCCTAGAGAGAGAGAACTTTTTCTGTGTTCCTATATCAGTGTCCTGTGATAATAATTAACTGTGTCTAAATCTCAGTGGACAATTGCTTTGAAAGACAGGAATGAAGAGAGTACTGTTGATAGGATAAATAACCCTTCAGAGTACGTGTAGGCTGTGAAGAACAACTTAGTTTTATGCTGCTGCTTTCTGAGTGGAGCACTTTGCACTAAGTGTGACCTTCCACCACACTCTGCAACGAGCAGCTCTGTGTGTGAGCTGCTGCCAGAGCAGCAGGGCCTCAGAGCAGTGCAGTGACAGACCAACGGGCTGAAAACGCCATTTGAACTCGCCAGGGCCATTCCTGCCCTGCTAACGTGGTGATGATGTGGGCAGGGGAGAGATAAAGAAAAAAGAATTAAAACAGTGGGGAGTGAGGGCTGGCCCCCTGGCAGTGGGTGTCGTGGGCAGCAGGCTGAGCCTTTCCCTGTGCTGCAGGACGAACACCGTGGTGCTCATCGACGCCCAGGGCCGGGTGACGTTCACCGAGCGCAACATGATCGACGCCGCCAGGGACCAGTGGCAGACGAGCACCTACGAGTTCCAGCTGCACTGCTGACAGGACCCACTGAATGGTCTGTAAGAACAGCAGGGAGAGAGCGAGCCATTAAGCTCTAGTAAATGTTTTGTGCCAGCCTCCACGAGCTAAAACTAGCAAGGCCAGCAAAAGTTTAAATAAATTAGTAGCACACCCGGATCGGGCTCACAGAGTCTTTGGATAAAACCAGATGAAAAAACTGGGTTTATGTTAAGTAGCAAGCTACAATCAGAAATATTGTTTTTTAATATCACCCTGCCTTCAGGACAAGGCCATCTTTGTCCAGGACAAAGTCATTGCTTTTTGTGAGGGTGTGGGGTATTTTAAGGATGCTTTAAATAGACTTGAACTTGTTTTTTCAGTTCTGATGGGGGGAAACATTTGCTGCTTTTATTGTTAATACATGAAGGTTTTACCAAACTTTGCTTTTCCTTCAACATAAGCTGTTAAGATTGTCCAGCTGATGCCAGTGTGCATTAAATGAATGTATGTTCTCCTGGTAGCATTAAGTGCTTTAGTCCCATGTCAGCCTCTCAGCAGTGCCATGGTGCACTGTTCTGCCTGGGGAGGGCAGAGCAGGGGGATTCTTTACATTTGTTTTCCTCTAGATAGTACAGCAATATATCTTATTTCTAAAACTTGGTCTAGGGGTAGGTAGGAGATTTTGCTCAGTCCCTGTTCACTTTTACTGAAAGAATCATGGGAGCAGACTTGCCTACCTTTGACAGGAATAAAATTATTGGTGTTGTGACATCTTGTTTCCTGATAGTCTAACTAGCAATATTGATTTTGATATTTTCTTCCCCAGCAGGCAGGTAAGGAATAGGTACCTGTTTGCAAACAGAAGCTGAATATGAGGTTTACATATATCAGCTGTTTTGTACATATGTAATTTTGGCTTCAATATTGGTATAATATGTTAAAGCCTGGAGTGACTGATCATAGATTTTTTAGTAAAAATAGCTGTTTGTTGTAAGGTGACATTATTGCACTCTTATATTGCTGAAAAAGTTGGGTATTAAGATGTACTTCCTATGTTCTAACACCTGTGAATTAAAAAGCTATTTAAATGCATGCTTTTTTTCAATTATTCAGTGCCAGGGTAGGTAATGGAAGATTCTAACTAATATCAGGATATTTGAAAACCCCAAGTTATTTTGCTGCTACTGGTGTTCTGACTTACTTTGAATACTGAGTATTAAGCTAGTGGTGGGTCACTGCTATTTTTTTCCCCTCTAGATATACTGACTGTATCCTTTCCACAAGCCTCTGATTTTACCTAATTATTTCAAAGTAGCAAGATTTCTGATCCTCTCTCCAAGGTGTGCAGTTGTGCTGCTGTGTGTTCCATCCTCCCTGAGTGTGTGGAGCCAGCAGCAAGTGAGACTTGCCACTGAGGTGAAGTACTGTGAATCCCAGGTTTTTAACTGCCAGGAGATGCTAAAGCAGCATTTAGTCAGTTCTTTCCTTTCTATTTTCATATTTAAGTAGCTTCTAGGTACCAGGACTGCTTGTACAACTAGTCCCAGGCTGTTGCTGCAGTGCTGTGGAAGTGGCTCTTTGAGCACCTTGATTGCAGGATGATCAGTGGGGTGGGTTGGGTTGTACCTGGTTTCCAGCTCAGGGCCTCCCACACTGTCCTTCTGAGCTGCAGGAAAGGATTAGCCCTTTCCTATTGTTTGATGACTGTTTAAACCACATATTTGTATGGATAAAAATGCTATTTTTAGATGCAAGGAAGTAGCTGTAGCTGTCTGAAGTCTGAGTTTGACAAATGCACATTTTAAAACAAAGCTCTGCCTCAGTGGCTTGCTCTGAGAGTTTCCATAGCAAACTCTTTTATGGCTTAAGAAAAAAATCACCAGCGGATATCTGAACAAGAAATTCTCTTTGAAGACATTATCTTAAAGGCAAGCAAAATGCTTGAATGTAATTTCATGCTAAAAGCATTTATAAACCTTAGTTTTTATAGCAGTCCTGTAATAATGAAAATTTATTCTCATCTTTTACCTACGGGTGAAAAAATACAAGTCAGAGCTTAGATGTAAAAACAGATTGTAATCACAAATTTTGCTTTGCTTGAATCAAAATTCTAAATCTGGGATTTGCTTTTTCTGACAATTAAACCATAAAGAGCACAGACCTCTGATGTTATTTTTTATCATGTCAGAACAGTTAATGAGGTGAGCATGTGAGAGTGTTGTTATTGGCTTCAGTGGAAGCAGGATCAGGACAGCAGTGCAGGGATCAGCAAGTGGTGCTTGTCCATAGAAATGGTCAGGTGTTTGTGAAGTGCATCATCTACTCTGTGCAAATCAGAGTTGTAATTAATCCACTGGAAAAAATCAACTGTAGCTAAAGTTAACAAAGAAAGTGTTTTATTTTTGTAAAAGTATTTTTAATAACAAAAGGGAATTTTAAATATCAGTTTTAAGGGATATAAAGGAAAAAAGTGTATATAGGAAATATTGCATTTTAGTAAGTTTGCTTATACATATCATCTCTTCAAAGTCATAAATTTGCAAGAGATTTTTGTTTCTATTGGAATGGTAGTGGAAGACATTTTAAAATATCTGTAAAAACTCAATTGTGGTTTTTTTGCCTAAAGTTGTGTCATAATTGTTTCTATGTGTGTTCAAAACTAGAACCAGAATAAAGTCAGTCTGGTGACCAGTCTCTGTCGACATTAATAGATCATTTGCACATCTGTTTCTGTTGGTTTGCCTGTCAGTCGGTGTGTCAAGATGAAGGAAAATCTTTCAGGAGGTATTAGCAATGAAAGAGCTGTAAGTTAAGTCTGTTTCTGGTACTTAATTCCTCTTTAAGTGCTGTGTTTTTCTGGGGTTTCTATGTTGTGGTGTGTGCACTGGGTTTTTCAGTTCTAAGCTGTTGTGTGGTTGTCTTATCCAGGTAAGAAATTGGAAAATATTTGAAATGAAGGAAAGAGCAAAACTAATGATCCCTTAGGGAAAAGTGGAGCCTCACAAAATGCTACTGAGGGACAAGAATCCAGGTTCACTGTGGGAAAAGTCTGGATCCTGGGCAGACCTGAGACTCTTGTTACACTGGGCTGACAGGACCTTAATGTCCTGCCATCCTGGACACTGGAGGTGGAATTGTCCCAACTCCCTGGGAGTGGCTTGATAAAATACACCTGAACAGACCAGAGAACGAGTTGGGCCTCAAACAAAACCAAAAATATTGATAAGGCTTGGAACACTGGTTTCATAATATCATAAGGAAATAAGTAATTTCAAAATGAATCCATGAAATACTAAGCAAAATAAGGCAGTAATTAAAGCATCTTGCATTTTAAATTTAGCCTGTAGAATTTAATGCACATTTATGGCTTAGCAAGCATCCCTATTGATATGGAATATTAGCTCCTAGGAATTAGTTTTATATCAGATTCATGTAATTGAATGTTGCTGATGTTCTTCATCTGATTCATTTTCTGCAGAGAAGTCTTGTTGATAACTTCTGAGGATCTAGGAAATAGTCTTGACTTGGTGAAAATAGAATCTGTGTGGTAATCAGCTGGAAAGGCTGTGAGAATTACAAAATCCGTCAGCATGACTCATGCTGGGAAATGTAGGTTAAGGTGAACAGAGTGAAGAAGTGTTGAATATAAAATATATATGTAAATAATTTATCTGTAACATCCTATTTCAAGAACTTAGAAACTGAATGAGTAACACAGTATCATATTAACACACTCAGATTTACCATTTCTTTTCAAACAGAAGACATAAGGACTGAACTTTGGATCACAGATGAGGGAGAAAGGTAATAATGAATGTAAACTTTTATATAAGTAGGATAGCCCAAAATTACAATCCATTTAAGTCATATGCAACGTGAATGGTAAAAAAAGCAATTTCTCTGCTGATTCATGTTAAATTTTTGTGTGTTTGTGCTAGAAAGATAAATGGAGAAAAACAAACGAAAGCTAAAACCACATCAGAAGCTGGAGAAAGGAAGGGGAGGAGAAGCCACACTTAATTTAGCAGAGAACACCCAGTGATGTTCTGTTTTATGAGCTTGTTCTTTTGGAGGCCTCTGAGAATGGCAGTGCCAGCTGATGCACTCCTGCCTGACGGGCTTCCCTCGGGTGCTGGAGGAAGTGTTTTCCAGGAAGTGTTTTCCATGGATATCTCACCTGCCGTCCTTGCAGGCACAGAGCCAGCCTGGGGCTGTGACTCACCAGACTGTGCAAACACATCGATCTCTTCTGGTCGGTGCAGAAAACCACATCTCACAGGTTTGTGGCCAAAGTAAACTAGAACACCACATCACTTTTCAGACAGGAATTGAGATATATTAAATAATAAACTGGAGGATATGTGGAGCCAGTAGTGTCTCTTCTTGTGGTACAGGATTATAATTAGTATTCAGTGGTTGAGGCTTTTGCCTCTGTTAAAGGAACGTACTCTCTCAAGAAAAAGGTGAATGAGAAAGCCAGATTTTTTCTCTCCCTGTACTAGCTCTGCTCTGAATAACCACAGAGCCTGGTCTTAGTCAGATGCATTCTCCATCTCCTGTTTGTCACTGGAATGACTGGGATTTAGAGAGGAATTAACTGTCCTTTCAATCACAGATGAGTCTGCATTAGCACCTTGGTTGGACTGACAGTGCCCTTACCTGGTGTCTCTGACAGTCCCTCTTGCCTGTGCTTTAGTTCCCATTTCAAGGCAGCCTCAGGTCCCAGGGTCCAGGCTGCTTTCAGATGGAACAGATCTGGTAGGTGTGCTTGAGGAATGCACAAAGTGTTGTCCCACAGGTAACAGGTTTAACCTGAAGCAAAATTGTCTGAAATGTGCCTTGCACAGAGACAATGTACCAACTGTTTTGCTGCACAAGATTAGTAATTCTGTGGTACCGCTGAGCCAAAGGATGTGTCTACTTTGATTATTTTCTGTAGCAATCAGCTACCTCTTTTGATATCAGAGAACTGATCTGAGATGCTCACGGGGTCCTTTTGATGACTTCCCGTGGCTGTGAGGTGAGGGCTGGCAGAGGTTACGTGAGGAGAGCGGATTTCAGCAAAAAGTGGAACACTAAGACATGTAATGCATGCAACTACCAGTTTGCCAGTGCCAAAAAAAAACCATAAAAAGCTTCAGTGCAACTTATTTTACTGAAATAAAAGTAATGCAGGCTTTCACTGTGGGAATGGCACAGTATGTGCTGCAATTACTAACACTCGAAGTAAAAATATGAAAAAGCCACTGGCTCCACCTAATTTTCATTCCAATGAATGCAGCCTGGTAACTTTATTGGGAAGCTCATACTTTTTGCTTTATAGCCTTGATTTCTGTATTTTGTGTTGGCAGCAGTAGTTTCTGTCTAGCCTTTTGGTATCTTGTGTGTGAAAATGTCTTTGTCATTAGGAACTTCTTTTAGCTGATGATAATTTTACTTCATGATATTGTGGTACATTCTGATTGCACTGTGCAGGTGGACCTGTGCACTTCTGGTTCAAAAGTGGAAGACACTTCCAACTCAAAATTGGAAGACTCATATTCATGTTTGAAAAGTCTTTCATCAGAAGTGCAGGCAATGAAAATTTTCAGGTGAATTTGCCCCTTGTTAGACATAGCAGATCAGATATAATTCTCCAGAGGTCACATACACCTTGGGGGTAAAAAATTACCCATAATTTGAGCATTGTTTGGATGAAAACATTATTTTGCTAATGGATTGTTATTCTTTTGTTCATAAAAAATTAGAAGTATATTTCCCTGTAGTGTCTGTGTCTCAAAGAATCAGTTGTTGCATCGTTGCTTTAGGTCACAGCATTATGATTCTCTGAGAACAGATGCACAGTGGAAAAACTGACTCTGGTTATATTTTCACTTTCAAAGCACTGCAGGCATTTTAATTCTCCCACCTCTGTGCAAAAATCTGTGTGTGTGCCTCTTCTGGTTCTAACTGAAACATGGCTGCTTATGTACATATGAAGAATTAAACCTGTTTTCTAAGTGTGTGATCTTCCTAGTGCAGTAGTTCAGTTATACAGTCACATAAATGGGATGCACATGAGTCACAGTATTTGCATTTTCACAGCCCCTGTG